ATTTTATTTTGTACAGTTTGTCCTGAGTGGATGTGTGCATGTTTTGCTGAAGGCTGTTCTGAGGTCAGTTTAAAGGCCCTTTCTTTAAATATAGCTGCAGTATTCCCCCATAGAGACAGAGAGTGACTCTTTGCATCAGTAGCAGAGGCGTAGGAGTTTAATAAATCTAAACGAGTGAATCCGTCATGGCGTATTGTTTCAGATTTACTGTGTACACGATCTTTTATAAGGCTGTTTTGATTTCATGTTGTCCTTATCAAAGTGCATTAAATGGTTTTATGACTATAAATGGTGTTTGTCATTAATGAGTGAACTTATACACATTCAGTTTATTAGTTGAAAAAGTCACTTTAACGGTTTGGTCCCTTTTTACCAAATAATTAAGATGAGTGTTTGTGTTTAATATTGAACCTGTTTTATTTATTCCTTTAGCCTGTAAATTTGATATGCAGTAAATATTTAGAAATACTTCACAAAATATTTTTGCCATAGTTACAGCTAAGTGGGTTAAGGCTAGATGGTATACAGATTCGTCTACTGGGCATGCGCACATCAATGTAGCATCATTTGTCACACTGTACAACAATAATTACTGTTTTTGCATTATTGTAAGGGGTAGGTTTAGGGTTGGTGTAGACGTTAATAAAGCAATCTAATAGGTAGAAAATTTAATAGAGAATATAACTTTTATGCCAAAAATCATTAGGGTATTAAGTAACGATCATGTTCCATGAAGATATTTTGTAAATTTCCTACTGTAAATATATCAAAACTTAATTTTTGATTAGTAATATGCATTGCTAAGAACTTCATTTGAACAACTTTAAAGGCGATTTTCTCTGTATTTAGATTTTTTTGCACCCTCAGATTCCAGATATTCAAATAGTTGTATCTCAGCCAAATATTATCCGATCCTAACAAACTGTACATCAATGCTTATTTAGCAAAGCTTATTTATTCAGCTTTCAGATGATGTATAAATCTCAATTTAAAAAAATTGACCTTATGACTGGTTTTATGGTCAAGGGTCACATTTATATTCACATTTGAGAGAAAAATAAATCTCGCTGACATCAAACTTTTGAAAATTTGGAGGGAAAAAAAGTAAAACTTTTGACATTTGAAAATTATGATCAGTGACATTGTATTTAGTTGAATACCCAGGTTTTTCATGTTTACTTGTTAATGAGGATTTTGTGGACACACACATCAGTGCTTTTAGATTTGTGGAGTAATTTAATTTATAACAATTATTTTTAATTATAAAATTCGTCCTTTGGGGTAAGATGGCCCACCAGAATTGGCAAAGAAGGCTCCAAGTGGCTTTTTGTTATTAGTGATATTATTTTTTTTTTTTAAACCTAGGCCGATTAAATTAAATCATGTTATTTGAATATGTAAATATTAATTTGCCTGTATTTAAGTCATAGACTAAATTTACCTTTCAGATAAACCTCTTTTACTGGGATTCTGCTTTGTCTGTCATCGGTTAATTTCATATCTTTTTTTTTTTTGTTAAAGAAATTTGTGTTTTTATTCAGTAAGGATGCATTAAATCGATCAAAAGTGACAGCAAAGACATTTCTAATGTTACAAAAGATTACAGCTTTATATTCACCAAAAAATGCGAATAAATCTATCACAGTTTTCAAAAAGTTATGAAGCAGCTCAACTGTGCTCAGTTTAGATGAAATTTACATGCATGTTTGACATTCAGTAATGCATTGAACTCATCAAGTGGAGATTGTTTGGATATAGATTTTTCTAGGAATGATCAAAGTTGTGCTGTACTGAATGTGTTTCTGCTGGGCTGTGTGTAGAATCGTAACCCGTCGGTGGCCGTGTACTACACTAACAGAGCGCTATGCTACGTGAAGCTGCAGCAGTACGACAAAGCGCTGGCCGACTGTAAACACGCCCTCGAGCTCGACAGCCAATCGGTGAAGGCCCACTTTTTCCTGGGCCAGTGTCAGCTGGAACTGGAGAATTATGAAGAGGCCATCGGCAATCTACAGAGAGGTACACATGGAATTTCTATGGAATTTGGAAAAAGAAAGATTTAAGAAAAAAGATTTACACATTTGAATTAGAATTTGTGATTTTTGGGATGCTTTTAATAGTATAGTTCACCCAAAAATGGGAATTGTATCATCATTTGCTCATCCTCATTGTTCCAAACCTGACTTTCTTTCTTTTGTTGAACACAAATGTAATTATTCTTTTTTTAATTAATAGCACTCTATATACAGTACTTGTCAAAAGTTGGGAAACATTACAATTTTAAATGTTTTTAATGAAGTCTCTTCTGCTCAGCAAGGCTGCATTTATGTGTTCAAAAATACAGTAAGAACAGTAATATTGTAAAATATTATTGAAATTTAAAATAACTGTTTTCTATTTGAATATCTTTTAAAATGGTAATTTATTCCTGTGATACAAAGCTACATTTTTTCAGCATCATTACTCCAGTCTCCAGAAATTATTCTAATATTCTGATTTGCTGCTCAAGAAAGAATAATTTTGGATTATTATCAATTTTGAGAACAGTTGTGCTGCTTCATATTTATTCAGAAACCATGATATACTATCATTCAAATGCTGTGTGGGTTTAATAGAATTAATGTTAAAATTATTCAGCAAATATGCTTCAAATGGATCAAAAGTGACAGTAAAAACATTTTAAATGTTATCAAATATTATATTTCAATGCTGTTCTTTTGAACCTTCTGTCCATCAAAGAATAGAAGAAAAAATGTTTCCACAAAATATTAAGCAGCAAAAGATGATTTTAACATTGATAATAAGAAGAACCATTATTAATAACTGACCACCAATAATGATTGAGCAGCAAATCAGCATATGATTAGAATCCCTTTCTGCAGCACCAAAATTAACAATTAAAAGCAGTATGTGTTGTATGTGATGTTTGTCATCTTGAATGACTTGTTTTGTAATAAAACTCTAATAATGTACATCATCTGTGCATCCCTAAAAACCATCATAGAAATAATCCAGACGCCTAAACAGACATCAGACATCAGTTGCAGTGTTCAAATGCAGTGTGATGAACTCGCTCTTTGAAATGCTTCTCAGCTTATAACCTGGCGAAGGAACAGCGGTTGAATTTTGGAGACGATATCCCAAGTGCTCTTCGCATTGCCAAGAAGAAACGCTGGAACAGCATAGAAGAGAAGCGAATCAGCCAAGAAAACGAGCTGCACGCTTATCTCAGCAAACTCATCCTGGCCGAGAAAGAGAGGTGACGCTCACGTCAGTCAGTCATGAGGATCTGTGTAGAGAATCTGTGCTGTAACACCTGTCCGTCTCTGTGTTTGTGTTTCAGAGAGCTAGACGACAGCGGGAAGCAGTCCGAGGACAGTCAGAACGGAGGCGAGATCAGCAAGATCAAATCCAAACACGTGAGACACGCATTCAAATACACAAACATCTCTGAACGCTGTGTGTTTGATGAAGTGATGTCATTTCCTGTTCTCATGCTCCTGCAGGATAAATATTTGATGGACATGGACGAGCTTTTCTCTCAAGTAGATGAAAAGAGGAAGGTATGGAGAGATCATCTCAAACGTTGTGATAAACATCTATCATTGGTCCAAATAACTGTAGATTAAGCACCAGTGTGTTTGATTGGCTGTTGTGCAGAAGCGAGAGATCCCAGATTACCTGTGTGGGAAGATCAGCTTTGAGCTGATGAGAGAGCCCTGCATTACTCCCAGCGGCATCACCTACGATCGCAAGGACATCGAGGAACATCTACAGGTATGTGCACGAACACACATCGCGTTAGAGGTCACCATCATCTCAGCGGCGCTTGTTTGGCTTGTGCAAGATTTCTGCCATTTTTGAGGCACTCCGATTTCTGCCAGGTTTTTGTCCGATTTTTTCTTCGTTTTTTGAGTCATGTGACTTCTATGGAAGCCCATTTCCTCCACTGATTAAAAAAAAAGATAAGTGCGACTTTTTATCTCGCGATTCTGACTTTTTCTCAGTATTGCGAGATGTAAAGCCGGAATTGTGAGATATAAACTCGCAATTCGGACTTTTTTTCTCGCGAGTCTGTACCTCACAATTCTGACTTTTTTTGTGAGTTATAAAGTGTTTGTGAGTTATAAAGTCCAGTTCTGAGGAGAAAAAAAGACAGATATGTTCTCAGAGTTGAGTTTATATCTCACAATTCTGAGAAAAAAATTCAGAATTGCTTGTTTCTATCTTGCAATTCTGACCTCGTTTCTCACAACTGCAAGTTTATATCTCTCAATTCTGAGAAATAAAAGTCAGAATTGTGAGATAAAAAGTCGCAGTTACCTTTTTTATTTTTTATGCAGTAGTGGAAACGGGCTTTCATAGACTTCTCACTTTAGAGGCACAGGACAATTATGCCGTCATTGGCTGAAAAATTACAGATTGGCGGATCAGATTACAGCAGTGTTTTTATTATTGTTATTACATTATAGTATTTGTTTGTATTTTTATTTTTTGGTTGTTTTGTCATTTTTTTTTATTTTTATTTGTCTTTAATTTTAGTAACTTTAGTACTTCAATTTAAACTTTTTTCAGTTAGTTGCCAAGACAATGTTCATCTTTTTCATTTAATATTCTATTTTATTTGAGTGCTATTTCAATTATCGTGTTTGGTGTCGTTACAACATCTACCAGCAGGAGCTCTTAGGCTCTAGAAATAGATTTTATATATATATTTTTTTATTTTCTGTTTTCATTCAATTTTAATTCAAGTTTTAGTAAGTTTGTTGTATGTTTAGGGTCTTCATTGTTTTTTTAAAAGAATATGTCTATTTAGTTTTATGTCAGCTTCAGTTTTAACTTCAACTTTGTTTTGGTTTAGTTTATTTTTTCTATTGAATATTTATCTGTATTTTTTTTTTCAGATTTAAGTTAACGAACAAATTTTAATCAGTTTAGTTTTTTTGTATTTTTAAATAGTTTTATTTCCATTTTAGTAATTTATTTGATCTTTTTTTATCTAATAGTGATATTATATTGCTTTATTACTGTTAGCAAAAATGTTTTTAATAGTTTTAGTTTTTGTGAACTAAACCAAGACATTTCTAAATGGCTATTAATGGAGAAAGATGCTATTTGCAGGCAGATGGTGTTGTTACAACATCTTTTGAAAAGGGGGTTGGACATATCAAAGTTTTTATGCCTTTAGTGAAGTATTCTCTCTCTCTCTCTCTCTCTCTCTGTGTCTGTAGCGCGTTGGCCATTTTGATCCAGTGACCCGCAGCCCGCTGACCCAAGATCAGCTGATCCCCAATCTGGCCATGAAGGAGGTGATCGATGCTTTCATCCAGGAGAACGGCTGGGTGGAGGACTACTGAACACACACACACACTCGAGCGGACCGCAGCGGTTTCCTCACACCCAATCGAATCCTCTCCTGTATGTTCATGCACTTTAATCTGTGGAGCTTTGCTGTGGAGTATCTCGCGCGCAGGAGTCACCTGACCCTCTTTCTCGCCGTCTTTCTACTGGCCTTCCTTACCAGACAGAATAATGGCCCCATCCTGCAGGTTTTGTTCGGACACTTGCTTTCAATCGGAAACATTGACTGATGTTTGCTGCACATGATGATGCTGTAATTTCCTCATTGAATGTTAAAATAGCAACATTATTGATGACACATCACTAATAATCATTCAGAGGAAACTTGCGCAGGTTGGCGTGTGTGTGTGTGTGTTTTTGAATCTGTCACCTATGAGATCTATATGCAGAATGAATGCGATATATGCGAGTGTAAAAAGTTCTAACGTAAGTAGAATGTTTCTAAGATGCTTCTCGAGCTGTGGGTTCTAGCAAGATGCTGATTTTTGTAACGAGCATTAAAACATATATTCAGACATTCATCCATATACCGGCTGCCAATCAATGAAACCGAACTGAGAATCTGTGGCATGCAGATGTCGTCATCATCATCATTGTTATGGTGTATGATACGTTTAGTCTCACTATGTGCGTCTGTGCGTTAGAACGAGAGGTAAGGGATTATTTCACACTATTGATTTTGTCTTTCCCTTTGGACCTTTGGGGAGTTTTCTGTTTCCTGTCATGAACACCACATGATGATGCTGTAATTTTGTCATTGAATGTTCAAATAGCAACATTATTGATGACACATCACTAATAATCATTCAGAGGAAACTTGCGCAGGTTGGCGTGTGTGTGTGTGTGTTTTTGAATCTGTCACCTATGAGATCTATATGCAGAATGAATGCGATATATGCGAGTGTAAAAAGTTCTAACGTAAGTAGAATGTTTCTAAGATGCTTCTCGAGCTGTGGGTTCTAGCAAGATGCTGATTTTTGTAACGAGCATTAAAACATATATTCAGACATTCATCCATATACCGGCTGCCAATCAATGAAACCGAACTGAGAATCTGTGGCATGCAGATGTCGTCATCATCATCATTGTTATGGTGTATGATACGTTTAGTCTCACTATGTGCGTCTGTGCGTTAGAACGAGAGGTAAGGGATTATTTCACACTATTGATTTTGTCTTTCCCTTTGGACCTTTGGGGAGTTTTCTGTTTCCTGTCATGAACACACACTTCCTGTTTAGTATCAGTATTTTTCAGAGAGCCCTTGTTAGCCGCTGGATGTCAGAGTTCCTGAACTGTTTGTCCGGCTGGGTTCAGATATTCCCCAGGTGTAACAAGTTTAGGTTGGATGCATGTTCAATAAATGTTATTTTGTTTCGTTTTGTAACAAATGGGTTGAGTTGAGTCTTGTTCTTTCCAATAGCGTTAAAGTTGAGACCCTAAAGTAAAGTAGACAATTGAGAAGTGCCATACGAATTTTTCAACCGCTCTATTTTAAGAGACAGTTCACCTAAAAATTTCAATTCTAACAACATTTACTAACCCTCACGTTTTCAAACCTAGTGGGTTCATTATGATTTTCGTTTTTGTGCAAAACACAAAAGAAGATCTTTTTCAAAATGTCTTCATTTTTGTTTGAGCTATTCCTTCAAATGCTGGATGTGTATGTGGTGGCTATGGGCCAGTGACCAACAGAGGGCAGCAAGAGACAAGCCATCAGAAACAGAGAAACCATAAAAGATCATAAATGTAAAACAGAGAGGGATGCGCAGGTCTAAATGTTTTATTGGTCAGAATTAGCTTTTTGTGAGCTTTTTTTTTAGCTATAGCATCCATGATACTGTATAACAGGTCAAAGGTCATCCAATAGGCAATGACCATCTAAATCTGGTTAAAGATTTCATTATAGAGCAGGTAAATAGAATTAGCAGAGTTTAAAATCATGTGTACTGAAAATCAGATGAATGCATTTTAGGATTGATTATGAAACTAATGAATTCAGCCTTCATGCAAAAACATTTTTTTTATTAGTATTTTTAAAGATGAATGCTTTGTGCCATTTTTTACATTAGTCCATCACTGCTGTTGAGTCTCATATCAGTATGTGTGAGTGTGGTTCTCTCTTGCTCTGCTGGAGTTTGTGTTCATTTGAGTGTGACGGAGGTTTTTGTACGACGCTTTCACTAGAATGAAGCACTGTGGTACACTTTTGGTGGAGGAACTAAACTGACCATCAGTAAGTCTCTTCAATTCTATCATAAAAATGTATGATAGTCTATTTTAATTTACTTAATTTTATTAAGCAAACATTTGGCAAAAGTTATTATAAATTGTTATTGAAATTAAGAACAATGTTAGAAAGGTTTATTCATGAAATGCAACATTTAATGATTAATTTAATTGATTCATAGTTAATAGTTAATTTTGTCTGCTATTTTACAACTATGTATTAATATTCAGTGATATTTAATGACATTTGTTTTTTCATTTAAATTCATATTTCATATCTTTTCAATTTTGTTTTAACTTTTTCATGAATAATTTCACATCTTATTTTTGCTAACATTTAACTGCATTTTAATTCATTGATTGAAATAATTTGATATATATTAAATTACATTGTAATATAATTATGTCCATAATTCTTGACAAAGTTAACAAATAAGAGTTTTTGAAATGCCGAAGCAAAATTTTGATAATACAAACAAAATAAATTAATTTTGTAGGCATCATCATCATCAGACAAAATTAATTTAGTTATTGAAATTTGTAAAAATTTTAATGTACATTTCCATATAATTATGATTGTGAGTTTCTGATATGTTCTTTTAAAAATACAATTCATACATAAATTATAATATTAATTTTTTTCTAAATATAATCATGAATTTGCATGTGGACATTGTTTTTAAAATCAGTTTGACAATAATTTAATTAATTTAGAAAATATCTAATTGTTATAATTTTTTACAGTATATTATGTTTGCTTCAGAAAACCGATTTAAATAAGATATACATAATACATTCAGTAGTGGTAAACATTTATTTTAAAGAGATTTAATGTAGTGTCTATGTGGCATATGAATGAAAGCAGTGAGGTGAAATTACAGTAACGATAAAATGATTGTGATTTTTACTGCATTATCATGTCTGAAACTATGATCTACAGTCAGAATGCTAAGAGAGCTGGAGTGTGAGTTTGTGTTGTGTGTGTTTGTGTGTTTCAGCTGGTCCCGCAGTGAAGCCCTCCGTGTCTCTGCTGCCTCCCTCTTCTCTGCAGATCTCTGGAGACTCAGCCGCACTGCTCTGCCTGCTCAGCTCTTACTCTCCACAGGGGGCGCAGGTGAGCTGGACGCTGGACGGGTCAGAGGTCACCGAGGGGGTTCAGACCAGCGCAGAGAGCGAGCGGGACGGACGCTACAGCCGCAGCAGCGTCCTGAGCCTCAGCAAAGCACGCTGGGAAGACGGCGAGCGCTTCGTCTGCAGAGTAACACATGACGGAGCTGATCACGAGACCTCGTTCCTCAAGAGCTCCGAGTGCTGATGTTTCTCCAGTGAAGAGCAGCAGGATTCACAGCAGTCACCTGATTTACAGCTCAATACTCAAGCAGTCTTTCAATGTGCTGCCATTGCTGTTCATTCAATAAAGCTTCTGAACGCCTTACATTTGTGTTCGACTGCATCATTGATCAGTGTGTCCTTCCTTCACTAAAGTTTCAGCTGCTGTTGATGGATTGTAATAGTTGAGAACAGCTGCGTTTAGCAGTAAATGTGAACTGAAGCTCTTGGGGTTTGAACATGGTCTCTGGAGACGGAGCTGCTCTATTCTGAGACGATCAGAATCACTAAAGCTGCCAATGCAAACCTGATTTTCAGCTCAAACTCACAGTTTCACTGTTTGATTGGTTCAACGCTCTGAACTGAAACAGTTTCACTTCTGCTCACGAGAAATGAGTTATGAGTCATAAATTCATCATCAGCTTGAGATGAAGGAGCTACTTCAGAAACTGTTAAAAAACATATTTATGTTGCTACACAATGACTTTACTATATTTACTATATATCAACTTACACCCTGTGTTTTCTCTGATTCTGAACATAATTGAGTCAAACCCGTCTGTCACAGGACAGATCACAGTCTAATAGAGCTGATTTCACTCAGAACTCAGTTTTGAGCTCATGTGTAGTTCTTTGTTTGGTCTCTGTGTGTCAGTAGTGTGTGATAGTGTTTGAGCAGCTGCAGCATCAGTTCA